GATCTAGCATTTAATCACTTAACAAATCATATAGGTAATTGGTTAGAATTGGAAACAATCACCATGCTGATTATTCGAAGATTAATGGAGTGTTTTAATCCAGATCAATAACCAAAAAATACCGAACAACAAAAAGGCAACAATAAAAAACAATGTACTAAGAATCGCATACTTTTTTCCGAGCTATTTCCAGTAGCGGAATTTTTTGATACTCAGCTCGCATTCGGAAATTTCTTTTGAAAAATTCCACTAAAAACTGTAAAATAAGCACGTAGTTGTACGAGGGCGCCTTGGAGCGCGCCCTCCGTGTTTTCAGTGTTATTTGTCATTTTGGTAGTTAAATTCAACAATCCCGAACTCGCAGGATCTTAATGGAATTACCTACGGGATTAATCCAGCAAAGGTGCACTGGGATCCCGGTGTATCGAGATCCTGTGATCCGTGTATTGATTTCCGTGCCCCTTTTCTCATTTCGTAAAAATTTTAAAATTCTCACTTAATCGGGGTCATGACCTCTTCTTTACTTAGGTTTTTGTGCAACTTCAAGAAACGCAATTTCATTCACACTTGAAAGTGGAAACATCGGTAATAAGTAGATTTCCCAAAGATTACACTAACAGTGGAACTAGTTTTATCCTTCATGGTACTCTAATGAAAGGTCTCAACGAATGGAATTAATTTCTACCAACCATAGCCTTCCTCCTCGACCTCTTATCGTGATCGGGTATATTCCCTTTACCTCAAGAACGGATTCTCGGAAGAGCGTACTCACAAAGGGCGATTGAGACGTCTGCAAGAAATATATTCATTGGTGATGTCAAAACCAAAGCTATTTCGGTTAAAAAAATGCCCTTTATCTGCACAATATCTGCACAAGAGTTGTGCACAATTTATACATGTTTGTATCTATTTTGGTTTGGACTGCGTTTTGAAGTAAATGGGCGCGATCGTTATTTTATTAAGAAAACTCCATAAGTGGAAGGGCGATACATTGAACTTGTTGGTGTCCGTCTCTCTTACATGGTATCCACCACAAACTGTAATCACTTTGTACTTCTGTATTTCTACTAAAGACCCATACCCTTCTTGTTATTTTACACCGCGATAGTTACAGCCTTCTCAGAAGGAAAATATGAAAAAAAGATTGCCAAAGGAATTTGGCTCCTGCTAGTAGCAATTGGAGATGTCAGATGACAACTGCTCTGTCTGTGGTCGTATGCTCCGAAAATCCTTCTTAATGAATTGTTACAAATACAATTAAACTAAATTTTGTTTACCAGAAAGTGTGTATTTTTTAATAAAGCATTTTTGGATCCAAATGTCACAATTTTCTATTGTTTTTGTATTTGAGGTCTTAATAGCTAACGCTTTATAGAGCTCGAATCTAAGTGGCTGAAGCGAGCGGATTTAAAACCCGAGGTTTTTTAAAACTATAAAACATAAAATATAATGGGAATTTAAAAGGAATTATCTGAATTGTTGTGGTTACTGTGGTAATCATATCAGCAACAACAAAACATATGCATTATAGTAATACCATTGAGTGTTTTGCGCTTTTATGACTTTCAATGCTAGGGTCAAAATTGTTGAAATTAATAAATAATTTTTTTCTCCAACCACCTGAATAAGACGCTATTTTGTGACAGTGTTCGGTACGTAAAATTGACGTTTTGCGGATTAATCGCTTTCACCATGGCAACTGTACAAAAAGTAGATACTTTTGGTCCTAGTACCAAAAAGAAATTGACCTTGAAAGTTGGCCAATTAAAAAATTACAATCACGGAGATATGTCACATTGACATCGTTTTACATTGCAGGTTGTAAGATATTTCTATACATACAAATCAAATATTTTTGCATATTCAATGCAAATAATGCTGTTACCTATACGTATGTACATGTATTGAAAATGATTTACGCTCGCTATTTTTATTTAAACCATGTGTAACGTAATTTACATATTCGATGAACGTAATTTTAATACGTATACAACCCGCCGTCGCGCGTAACGCCATCTATTTCAGACCCCTTGCACTATTATCTGTCATTTTGAATTCAAAATTTGAAAAAGTTAATTGCAATTAATTTTAATTAAAAAATTGTACGGTAAGTTTTTTATTTCAATACAAAATATAACAATATTAATTGTGTATACAATAAAATGACTGAAACTGATAGCGACATGGATTGCACTCCGCCAGAGATTATAGAAACGGCAGAACATGCTACCTCAAGATTTGCTCCCTACAAAGTCGCGAGAGGTGAGAAGTAAGAAGTAAGAACGAATAGGTTATAAGTTAACCTAAAAACTAGAGTGGCATGACACGTGAGGACAAGAAAGCAGAAGTTCTTATACTAGTAGTGAAACTGTGACTGAATCTAAATTCGAATATAATTTGAAGTAAAGGGGGTTGGAGAAAAAATTTTATGTTTTATTCGTACAAAAAATGCGTTTTCGGGACTCGGAAGGTTGCTGGACTCCGCTAACGCGTCGTCCAGCAACTATCTTCCTCGTCCCGAAAACTGACATTTTTTGTACTAATGAAACAAATAACTATTGTAATTCTCGAGGTATTTTTGGTTCTATATTACCCATATTGTATGTATATTGGTTATACCTAAAATAAAATTATCCCAATGCAATCACGGGATGACTTCAAAGAATAACTCACTAATAAGACAGCACCGAACAGTAATTTATACACGCTTTGCAAAATACATATATCGAAAACGTCGACTGATAAACTGCTACGGTTTTATAGATTAGTTGCGGTTTTTTGTTATGTTGGCGACCGGAACCGGAATCGATCACAAAGAATTAAAAAGCGACAAGGAACCTTCAAGCCGAATTTCTCAGTGGTGTCGTTTCACTACGATATTGTAATTGACTAATTGTTACGCATTACTAATTGAGGTTAAATGTTCCGTTCTTGTATGGTTACATCGTTACAACGGGTACATTTTATTTTCTACCGTAAACGTGTAAACATCCAGTGTATCTATATAACATTAATAATATAATAGAAATAGAGTATAGGTCTAAGCTATATAAGATCATTAAACTTTCCCATGATCGTATATGGTAATTGAACTTATACGCGGAATGAGATTTCGAAAAAAAATCGGCTTTTTGCAAAAATCCGTCGTTGTTGGCAACAATTGTTTGTTTGTCCAATATAATAGAACCATTACATGCACAAGTTATAGATTTGATGTTGAATATTGACTGTGGTGTTTCGCGCAAATAGATCATATTGATTTTCAGTACAATCGTGCAAAGATTTTTGACTGGTAAAGAATGTTCTAAGCAGTGGGAATTATAAACAACATTTTCTTCAAAATTATATTGCATTTTAATCTCATACTATTGTATCATATTTTGTATTATAATAACGAGGTGTTTACTTAAACACCATATACATCTTACTACATAATACTGTTTCTGTGTTTCTGACAATTGTATTGATTTTCCATCGGTTTGCTATTATTTTCTAGCTAAACTTCATAATATGGTCATATTTTTATATTGCATTTCTTGTTCTCTGTACATTTATGAGGCCAATTTACAAGAACTTATTTTCCAAAAGCCACTTAAATCATAATCTTTATTGTGCATGGTATGGTATTCTTTATTGGTTGACCAAGCATTGAGAAGGACATAAATATAAAATTGCGAAACTTTCACGACTTCGCGAGGATCTGTATTGTACTAAATACTATATTTACTATAGGTAAATAATCGTGCAAAGACCATTTATGTTGATCTAGAATAAATATATAATAATAACAAAAGGCAAATACTCGACCGCAAACCGTAACAAATCGATTGTCATTTCGCATAAAATAGTTATTTGTTTCATTAGTACAAAAAATGTCAGTTTTCGGGACGAGGAAGATAGTTGCTGGACGACGCGTTAGCGGAGTCCAGCAACCTTCCGAGTCCCGAAAACGCATTTTTTGTACGAATAAAACATAAAATTTTTTCTCCAACCCCCTGTACTTCAAATTATATTCGAATTTAGATTCAGTCACAGTTTCACTACTATAGTATAAGAACTTCTGCTTTCTTGTCCTCACGTGTCATGCCACTCTAGTTTTTAGGTTAACTTATTACCTATTCGTTCTTACTTCTTACTTCTCACCTCTCGCGACTTTGTAGGGAGCAAATCTTGAGGTAGCATGTTCTGCCGTTTCTATAATCTCTGGCGGAGTGCAATCCATGTCGCTATCAGTTTCAGTCATTTTATTGTATACACAATTAATATTGTTATATTTTGTATTGAAATAAAAAACTTACCATACAGTTTTTTAATTAAAATTAATTGCAATTAACTTTTTCAAATTTTGAATTCAAAATGACAGATAATAGTGCAATGGGTCTGAAGTAGATGGCGTTACGCGCGACGGCGGGTTGTATACGTATTAAAATTACATTCACGGAATATCTAAATTACGTTACACATGGTTTAAATAAAAATAGCGAGCGTAAATCATTTTCAATACATGTACATACGTATAGGTAACATCATTATTTGCATTGAATATGCAAAAATATTTGATTTGTATGTATAGAAATATCTTACAACCTGCAATGTAAAACGATGTCAATGTGACATATCTCCGTGATTGTAATTTTTTAATTGGCCAATTTTCAAGGTCAATTTCTTTTTGGTACTAGGACCAAAAGTATCCACTTTTTGTACAGTTGCCATGGTGAAAGCAATTAATCCGCAAAACGTCAATTTTAGGTACCGAACACTATCACAAAATAGCGTCTTATTCAGGTGGTTGGAGAAAAAAGTTATTTACGTGAAACGTATGCTTCAATAATGGAGATTTTGTTGTGAAAGTGTTGGTAATGAAATTACTATACAAATTATGATTATATAACTGTCCTTGTTCTGTTAACATATAATGTCAAATACGTCAAATTTAAACACGTCTGGTCACACGGGAACAAATAATAGTATATTAAAGAACAAGTTTCATAAGTAGCTGTTTTATCGCACGTGTCCAGTTTGGAAAACGAGCCGCGTAGCGGCGAGTTTTCCAAAGGACAAGTGCGATAAAACGGCTTATGAAACGAGTTATTTATACTACTTTTTCTATTTCGCGTGATTTCTATTGTAAAAAACTAAAAATAGTTCAAAATTCTGTACTACTTCACATTAGTTGTAAATGTTAAGTTGGTAGCACTGGTTCGCTTTTTCAAATTGAAAATTTTGAAGTTTCAATTTTTGCGCAGATATAGCGAATTGCCATTTGGTACTGCAATTTTTGTGAAATAGAAATGGAAGAGCAGCACGAAATCATAACTTGCACGCCACCTGAATTGCGGGAAATAGCAAACAGTACCGTAGATAATTTGCTTCCGCAGAAATCGAAACTAAAATATGAAAAGGAATACCTTAAATTTGACCAGTGGTGTAAAGAAAATAAAGCCCAACACATTTCGGAGAATGTTTTATTAGCATATTTTGAATTACAAACTCATTTGAAAAAGCCATCGTCATTATGGTCAATGTACTCGATGCTACGATCCTACCTAAATGTGCATAAAAATGTAGATATATCAAGATACGTCAAGTTACAAGCACTGCTAAAAAGATTTTCGCAAGGCTATGAGCCAAAAAAATCAAAAATTTTAGATTTAGAGCAAATTAATCGATTTATTCAGGAGGCTGACGACAAGCATTATTTAGATACAAAAGTAAGTAGAATTTTTTGTTCTAGTGGGTAGGTACTACTAGCTACAGGAGTATCTTGTTTGTATTCTCGTTGTAGGTTATTTTAATAATGGGCTACAGTGGGGCATGCAGACGCGAGGAGCTGACTAATATGGCACTGGGCGACATCCAATATAAAAATGATATTGTTGTTGTATCGGTGCCTAAAACAAAAACAAATGTAATGAGACAGTTTGTCATCACCGAGAAATTGTGGATTGATATTATAAAAAAATATAGCAGCATACGCCCAGTTAATACTTGCCATCAACGATTCTTTGTAACATACCGTAGTGGTCGCTGCATTACTACTTCGATCGGAATCAATACAATGGGCAAGACGCCACGAAAGATTGCAGAGTTTCTACAATTAGCCAATCCGGCACAATACACTGGGCACTGTTTCCGGCGTTCAAGTGTCTCACATTTAGCTAACAGCGGTAGTGACTTGGTCACCATTAAACGACATGGCGGGTGGAAGTCCTCCGCGGTTGCCGAAGGATATATTGAAACGTAGGTTCAACGAAAAGTGGAAGTTGCAGGAACTCTTGCCCAAGCAAGTAAATCATCCTCATCATTACATGGGATTCTTGCACAAGGATGTACATCAACACATGTAGAAAGTGCCGTTCCCAGTGCTATAGTTGAAGGAAATATAAATAGTGCCGAACACAACATCATAACCCACAATTTACCTGGTATCAAAGTCAATACACATGATGGAGCTGTTACCGTCAAAGTGTACAATAATTGTACATTTACTTACGCAGATAAGGACGAAATCTAAGTTTGTTGTATTTACTTTATTATGATTAAAGCTTTCGTTGTGCAATTTTAGTTAGAAAAGTTTGGTTATGTTATGTACACAGTAGGAATAAAAACCATCAGGTCCATGAAGTTGCTCCTGAAAGTTGAACCAATTGTGTCAATTTACAATGTACCTGTTAGTTTTTAGTTGGTTTTCATTAGTTCTGGCAAGAATGACGTTAGTTTCTCTTTGGTACTAATGTTATCCCAAAATCAAAATTGTCCGGGCGTGCTTCACATTTTCCGCGACATGTGCTAGAATTGTTAGTTCAGAGGTAATTTTGGATAAAGATTCGTTAGTTTATGTAAGTTTTGATTAAACCGTCGTTTGTTTTTCCTTATTTCTTGTAAAAAAAAATTTTTAATTTGTCCGGGAATACTTCACACTTCACTGGCAATTAGTTGAATTGTTAGTTTAAACACCATTTTCGATTGAATGGTGTTAGTTTCTATAAGTTTTCATAAAATCGTCGTTTGTTTTCCCTTAAATAATTGATTAATCGACCAATTTATTAAAGCGTTGTTGATATATCCGTCCATCAAAAGTCATTTGCAATTAGAGCTTGCTAGGTAAGACATGGCACTCATTTACAAGATATTGTTTACACTTAGCTAATTGTTGAGTGTATGAGTAATGAGTTGATCTACAGTATCCAATAAAAATGTATAATTATCTTAAGCTTTTTCTGGATGTCATAATATGTAGAACCTCTCGCCCCTAACCAACACCTAGATTTCGACACGTTTTGTACAAACGCTCCTTATTTTGTCACCAAGGAAAATTGAGTATATCTCCATTTCTAGATGGTTGATAGATGGATGTACGGGCATCATAATTACAAATTGAAACTCAGGGTAGAGCCTTCGCTACCTAATAGAGGCAAATAATCCACAATTCCTAAAACCATCGACTTATTAGCATTTGCAATGTTACCAACAGTTGAAAACAAAATCTATGCGGTGCGTTAATGGCTAGAACGATACGCGATTGCGTGCGGTAATGGAGCTATAAACAACGCGAAATAGAAAAAGGGTTCTTCTGGTCTTCACGACAAACAAATCATCGCGACAGTTATTGTTGCAGACACAAAGAAATCTTACTTGAACCACCGCAAGTTATGAGCTTTCGGTCAGTAGTTTTGGATTGAGGCTTGATCTACCAATTGGAAAAAAGGAACCGTTTTCCCTTTTTTTGTTACATAACAAAATCATGCGATGTGCGGTGAATTGGGCTACGTTTCCAGTGCAGAAAACATGGACAGACAGAATCCGAATTGAAAAGATTATTTATTTAACATCGAAAACGGAACCGGTACGGTTTGTCTTTCGGTTCTTTATTTTTCGGTTCCTTGACTGTTACATGCGAACCAGCCACGCATACAAAAAATCTCCGTACATTTGACTTGTTCATGTTTTTGTTAAAAAAAATAGACAAATACATTGTCGTTGTGTACAGTTATTGTTTTAATTTTTGAATAATAATTTCTACAACTGAGGCGCGCTGTTAACGGAACGAACGGAAGGACTCTGGTGCCACCAAGGGGTACGGCCTTGCCCCTGGTAAAGGTCGGCGATAGCAGTGATTTGCGGGACAGTCTCGGGCCGATTGCTTCAACAGAGGCGAAGCTGTGCCAAATTGGTTCGGCATTTCCTCGGGCATGTCCGGAATATTGTGACACCGTCCACTTTTACTCGACGATATTGACCGACTTTTTGGTGAGTGATTTCCGCTTGTTGGGGCACAAAATGGCGCCCAGTTTCCGGGCTCGTAGGATGATAGCGCAGGCAACCCTACGAATGTCCACTCCAGAGAACGATAATCGGGGTTCAAAATAGGAATCCGACTAATGGGTTAACGACCACCTTGATAAAAACAGAAGGAAACTGGTTTACTTAGTGCTAGCGTGTCTTGAAAGAGATTGATCTCTAATCGCGGTTCTTCCACAAATCCATAGCTCTTTAACCTCCGTTTAAAACAATACTAGCTGGACCCTGCTATTGATGTGTTGAATGGTTTAAGTTACTTATAACTGGAGAAGTAATTTGATTAAGCCCACGGATAATTATTTCTTTTACCTAGGTTTAACATTGGTTTTGGCACACGTGGTCGGCAATTTTGGCTCCGTTCTATCATACTTCCGCTACTTTTGGCGTTTTCTTACGAAAATCACAATCGTGCGCGTTGAAAAGGCAGACACCAAAAAATTTATAATGAATTCCACGAAACCATATGTCTATTTTAGATCGTTGCATCTGCAAAATAAATACATCTATTGAATTATCAGTACTAGTAACGGAGCTGAAGTATTCCTGCACTATGACCTGTAAGGCGTTGTTTTACGCTGTTGATCAAGTACAAAGGCCCATACAACCATAACAAATAAGCGACAAACCTTTTCAACTTCGAATGTTCACGCGCTGACGCATTTTGAACATGGTCGTATTATGGTCCAATTTCACTAACGATGAAAAAGACTAATCAATGATTAAAAATATTAGAATCTTATCGTATAATCAAAGGTGGCTAACATTGTAATATATTTTATTTGTTACTCAGTTGCAAACGTTAGATTAACAAGACAAAACGCAAACGGATAAACGTCATGTTTAAACGCTACTGACTTGTAAAACTACTGACTTGTAAAACTGACAGCTGACCTGTAAAAATTTTACAAGTTAGTAATCTAGTAATTTCATTGGCCAGAATTAATGCGAAGTCTCTGTTACATGGATAATATGATATTTTAGACATTTCTTCGAGATCAATTTAAGAACTAATTATTTACGTTTACAAATGAGTAACAAATAAAATATTGTACATTATACGCCAGGTAATAGTTTTTACTGGCTCTAGGAGATGACAAGCTCGCCTAACGGCTCGCTAGTCAACTTCTCCTATCGCCAGTAAAAACTCACTTACCTGGCTAATAATGTAAAATACTATAACTTAGACCATATAGTACATGGACTGCTATTAGCCCTATGCTTTTAATACAAAATGGGCGGTCACGGATAGAGGGCACTGTAGTCGTGGGTATGTGAATCTCAGGGTAAACTAAAGTCGTATGAACACCACTCGGATTGCGTAAAGAGTAGTTTTTATGGTAACCGCGTAGTACGGGAAACTTTAAATACTTCTGATTATTTTCTATACGTCCACAAGTAAGAATAGGTTTGCTTTTTTGCCATATCTAAGGAATTAATTAATTGACGTTTGTTAATTTATAGGTTGACAGTCTCACATCGTGTCTCATCGGACAATTTTGGACAGACTTGTTTACCCTGAAACGCACATAACCAGGCAATGTCCTTGACCATATTTTAGTTACAATTAGCAGTCCATGTACTATATGGTCTAAGATATTAAATCATTGACCAACCTGTGAAACAGGGGATTAGACGTTTATTAATAATAACAATTGATAGATAGAAAATTAATAACAAAGTAAAAGGGCAAGTTGTAACGACCCTTTTCCGTTATGTTTTTTGATTACATCACTTGTGCACTTCCTATTTGGTATTATTTCTACTTTCTCCTATAGATATTTATTAAGTACCTACCTAAGTAGGTATTGCTTAAAAATAGTTCTGTGAAATGTTAAATTAGTTATTTCATGTGAAACATGATTTGCGTTGAGTAAATAATTTATTATTACACGACTATAGCAGTATAATTTAAAATTCGAACGATTATTTTTAATTTCTTATTCAAGTCGAAAAACGGGAGTAATATTGTTAACTTGTCATGTTCGGGGACAAATCTGATATAAATGTGCTAATCACCTACACATAATTAATACAATTCGTCTTATTTATATATATATATTTGTTTTGTTTTAGGTAAGTGAACTTTTAAGAACCCACTCCGTACGGTTGGTAAGTTTACATAGTGTTCTGTTCGTGTTCCACTTTAATGCTTCCTACATTCATTAAACTAGAACGCCGACGAACTTTGTTTAATTTCATTCTTTTTTAATTTATTAATTTGCAGGAATTTGCGTACTTGGAAAAATATACTTTCATAATCTGCTATTTGTGTATTAACAAAAAGGTATCGTCCCTTTTGCTGATTCATGCCTAATTAGCATATCGACTCTCAATTTCTTTTATTTTTTAACTAATCAAACCTATCTCGTTACAAAAAGAGAAACTTACCTAAAGAGAAATTAAAACCACAACGAGCGGTGGAGTAAACGAAATTAAAATGTACCTACTGATAGAAGCCATGTCACAGCAATCTGCAAATTATCTCTTGAATAATTGGCGAAATTTAGAGCGACAATTTATGGGAAATTTCTAATTTCACTTTTTTTATTATTTTCTGCCACTACGCGTGTTCCCCGCGAATTTCTACAATGACATTTTTGCATCAGTTTCGAAAGGATTAGGAAATTTTCCTCCTGAATATAATTGTTGAGCTTTCTATTTGTGCTGCAAATTTCATTCATTCTTTTTCTGCGCACAAAGCGTAGGTGCAAGCAAATCAACACCAATTCTACGGTTTTAATTGTAGAAATGTCAACTTTCGCTATTGTTGTATTTTGAGTGCTCTTGCTGTATGTATTTTCTATTGCATTTATTTATATGGATCGCAAATGGTGACAATTAAGTCGTTAAAGTAGTAAATCAGTTATTTAAACAACGGTACATGTTCCTAATACGAATTTTAAATAAACATCAGTAGGTATTTATTTTGTTTGATACTGTGAACATTAAGAATACTAGTTACATGTTTA